AACATGGAGTGAGTTGAAGCCAAACAACGGATGGGTTGTTGTCCTCACATGTGATAGCGACATCAACACCCGCTGCTGCCAGTCCTTCAAGCCATCCGTCGAAAGCTAAAGCATCATGTGTACTTGGCGACCTGCCTTCGCAGCTGCGCAACTCCGGAAGCTCGGCCAGAGGTAGCATCGCATCCAAAGCAAGCGCACGAAACCAGTTGCGAGCACTGTGCAGTATCTCTCGATTCGGTTTGTCCATAGAGACTCGCGGGGTGAAACGAAGGTTACACGGAAGACGAACCATGTCCAGACCAGCATATGCAGACGACTCCAAATTCGTGTTTTGCCATATTGCCAAGACGTCAAGTTTTAACCGTGCCAGCAGACGCTCAATATTCACGATTCGTTTACAAGGCCTCTGGGCTTTCACAACCACGCGCAGCTTCTGCAATAGGAAGGTGGCGAACAGGGGCTGGGCAGGCCTAAGTGCATCGATAATGTAATAAACCACTTCCGTACCAACGGCAGGCACACAGCATGCGGCATTTTGAAACAGACACGCATGAGGAGGTAATCGATGCTTCTGGAGACCGCGTAGGTGTTTAGGGAGTTCTGGATTTTGACCTTGGCGTGGCAATTGGATATCAAAGCAGGTATCGAACAGAGAATCTATATTACTACATTTGTAGCTGACATGTCTCCCCCAATGCACCTCCAAAGGATGTGTTGAAGCATATCGTAACATTGACCACCTGTATAATTGTACATCAGCAGGACCCCGTACGCTTTCATATAAGGAGTTCCGAAGTTGCCAATAGCAAAACGAAAAAGGCTGCTGCAGCGTAGCCAGAGCTCCTCGGAGCTGCTTGGCCGAAGCAACAGCATTATGATAATATCGAGCTCCCGCTGCGCACTGTGGAGACACAGTGGTACAAGTGCTGGTTCAATCGTTGCCCCATCATCTTGAGGAGCTGAAAGTATACAGTGTATAGTCGGATATATACGCAGACATTCGGTCACCATGAGTTGGTAGCGGGTGCGGACTTGCGACCTCGCCACAGTACCGTGTCGATGAATTGCCAGCGCACGCCATCGATGATCGAGACCAGTGCCCCAGCGAGAATTGGGCCGTCTGGATTGGCATCGACCGATGTAAGTAAATTTCCCGAGAGATAGTTGGTATATGTATTATCGTCCAGACTCTGGAGATACGGCGAACATAGGCGTGAGATGTTCGACGGTCAAGCTCAACATCTGGATGCATTCTTCCACGCCCTGCATAGATACCGATCGTCGCAACAAATTCTTGTGTAGTAGCAGAAACGCTTTGGTACGAACGTGTGCTTTGGCACGTAACCTGCGCCCCGCAGTCGGCATTTGCCGGGTCTTCAGCAACTCAAGGACGATATATACAGCGCCAAGTGCATTTTGAGTATAGCATGAATGAGTCTTCTGGCGCATTCCAACCCACACACAGGTTATTGCATCACAGTTGGCACGCAGGCGGCAAATGGAGATACTATCAGGCTGAGCTGCGCAAAGCTCCCGCAAGGCATGGCCAAAAAGTGTCGCATGACAATTTTTACGTTGATGTTGTGCAAGACAGGGCATACTATCAAAGAACTCGCAAGGAGGCGAAATAAACGGACAGTGGTGCTTGGTTGTTAAGTTATGGATGAAGTATTGGATTGCTTCGTTAAGGCATGAAAGTGCAGTAATCCTCGAAACAAAGGCAGAAATACCCTTTTGAGAAATATGGTAGCGGAACAGCATGAGCAGAATGATATGGATCAGGACACCGTGGTGTCCTTTTGGGCAGAGCAAGGGAGGCCACGCGGATCTGCTTCCGCTTGCACTTGTAAACCGACCTGTCAAAGTTTCAACGCTTATGCTGACACACAGATACCGATAGAACCTTAGACCGAGTATAGCCTACAGAGCGATGTAAGGAATAAGCGACCCAAGACTATTGCTGATATGTGTGTCCCAAGATACGCCCACAGACAAGAAAACAATAAGATATGCTACCAGAGCCATGATCATGATTCGCATTGCATGTATGTATTATGGCGTCCGCCTTGGAATGTCAACTAAATTTGCCAGCAGCGCAACGCCTCCGTACACAAGGAAGCGAAACGCAATCGCACGAGGGGTCCAGCCTTAGGACTGGTGGTGTCTCCTGCCTTTTGTACAGCAGGGATTAAAGGCCTCCTTCACACTTCCCTCGAGAAATCATGCAACACACCCGACTGTCTTCACAAGCACAATGAAAATGGTGCCGAATTGATTACGGAAAACGTCACATCAGAGAGCGATCTCAATTATACGTTCCCGCTCTGCCAGGTCTTGACCGCGAGCCCCCTCAAGGTCAAAAAGTTGAAGGCCATGGCCCCGTCAGTTTAGAATCGCAAGCGGTGCGGGTATGTGCAAAACCATGGAAGTAAGCACACACGCACAAACACACACGCACACACACACACACACACACACCGCTGCAAGCGCGGTGGTGGATCACGCATATCAGTTCACGAAATCCAGCGCGTTCTTTTGCCAGCGGTCCCGCTGCGCTGCCAGGTGCGTCCACATTCGCTCCCCGAGGGTGCCAGAATACCTCCGCAAAGCGCCCTCGAACTCCATCTTTCTTCCGCGCGACGGCCTGGTGAGTTGTGAGTCGTCCCAGCCTGTAGTCTTTAGCCAGGAGGGAAAACACACAGACACAAATATTAGTCGATTCCCAGATAATTTGGGAAAACAGGGGAATGGAATGAAATACGAACATCGAGAAAATATTTAACATTTTGCGGAATATTGGGATTTGTGTCTATTCATGTTTGTGTCTTTGGGCCCCTTCATGTATTCTATCCAGCATGGAGGAGGCACAAAGAGGAGAGGGAGCAAGGGAAGTTCGTCTTCAGGCTTAAAGGGAGGTCTGACTTCTACCCATCGTATTTTTCCGCTGACGCGCCCGAGCCGTTAAAATCACGGCACGGCCACCACGATTTTCTGCACCATCGTCGAACAAGGAATGCAATAACGGTTGAGCATATGACGCAGAAATATCCCAAAAAGATGGGCCAGCGTTCTTCTCCAAATTGCTTCAAACTTGGCCGAGTTTCTTGGGCAACGTTTGTCCCATCAGCGTCAACAGCAAAAATTGACCCAGGCTTGTTTCAAGAAGCTTCCGGAGAGCTGGCACAGATTCCTTACATGATCAGATTTCCGGCTGTACACACCGCGGAGGGCAAGAGCGTTTTGCTTTATCAATTCCGAGGCCCAGGACCGACGCAAGCCAAAACAGTTCTGTTTTGGCTTGCTTCGGTCGGGGCCGTGCGGGCGGACCCTAACGGGCCGGTCGGGTGGGCGGGCCCATACGGGTGGTTGGAGAGGCGGTTTTTAACGGACAGTTTGGGTAGGTAGGCCTTAACGACCGGGTCGGACGGGCGGCCAATTAAAGCGCGGTTCCATCTCAAGAAAGTATCGGGCGAGAGCATGATCCCCAAATATTTTGTCAGGAGGTTCTTGGCCAGAGTGCAGTTCCTGAGCGGCGAGAGCGCGATTGAGCCCTGCGCAGCGACAGCAAGATTCTTAAATTTTGATAAAGTCCCAGGCGAGAGCGCGATTTATTGAGCAAGTTGCGAGGATGTCCCCAGCGAGAACGCGTTCCTGAACAAAATTACGGTGAAGTCTCACGCGGGGGCAGAATTTGACCCCGAATCTTTTCTCGACCAAAAAACATGCTAGCCAGCGTGGGCAGTAAGCAAATGCATTGTGGATGTGCAAGTTATGTGGTACAAGCTATGTGGTCTAAGCTACGGTGGAGGGGGTCGTTTCAAGAATGTGCCCAGGAAGCCTCAGACCCTGCAAGATTCCTTGTCTGATGAGGGCGGCGGTGATATCCATGGCCAAGCCTCAGTTGAAAATCTACCAGTTTCCAGACCCTGGATTCTTTATCCACGTGTTCCCTATCCAGTGCTTTCACCGTATGTAGTGCTGTATACGTGGTGCGAGCTCGAGGCGGCCACGGGCGGCAACGGGGCGAATCTTCGCTGGACCCACCCAGTGCACGAGGCGGCCACGACGCCAGGCGGCAACGTGGAAAATTCTCGCCAGGCCCATCCAATGTCGTAGCGTCATCCGCTAGAACGCCTAAGTGCAAGCACTCGTTGGGAAACGGTGCGAGCGCCAAGGCGGGACGCTTCAATTGAGGAAGCACGGGGGTCACATGTTCGGGGGAATCCATTATGATAGTTCTTCCGAAGGGAAAGGTCAACAGCAAAAATAATTTCAAAATTGATCGTTCTTCATTGCCCGCGTGTCGTTCAACATGTGTACCACAAACTCTCGACTCCCGCCCTCTTCGTTCTTTGATGTCACCTCTAAAGGAAAAAAACCAACAGGGTGAGACAAGCGGGTCGACCCGGCGGACTCTAGCGGGCGGATCGGGCAACGCACCCGAAAAGGCGGGTCGGGCGGGCCCGGCGGACCTTAACGAGCGGGTCGGGAGAGCAAAACGTAATGGGCGGTTCGGGCGGGCGGGGGATTCAAGCACGCGGGCGGCGGGCGGGTGTCCAAGCGATCGACCCAGCAGACCCTACCAGGCGAGCAGAGCGGGTGGACTCTAACGAGCGGGCCTGGGGGACGGACCCTCACGGGCGGGTCGGGCAGGTGGAACTTGTCGGGCGGATCGGGTGGGCGCGACAGTAAATCACGAATCCTTGATAAGCCTGATTCTTCTGTAAACAGGAAGTCTCGAGCGAGAGCGCGATTCCTGAACAAAATTGGGAGGGAGTGTCAGGCAGGAGCCGTTGTCTTTGTAGTCTGGGGCGCGCGCGGATGGGGGGATACCCTGATATGCAAAGGTAACAAGGTGCGCGCGCGGGTGGGGGGACGCTTCAACTGAAAAGCCATACGGGGCATTGGTGGGGGGGGATCAACAGTAATCAGTTCTCAGAAGCGGGAGCTCAGCAAAACGTCCCTTGGGGTAAGGCGGCGGGGGGGCCTCACGCGCGCAGGAAGCACGTCGGCGAGATAGCGCGGGTCGAGGCCGGCACGCCCTGTACCGACCTCCGCTGCGTGGACACGAAGGGGCCGCTGCTGCGCGGGCACGCACAGGTTCGCCATTCGGGGGGCCACGGAGGCGGCGACGGACCCAGACAGACAAGGTCTTGAAAGCGTCAAGGCGTGAAGTTCTTCACCGCTTTCGGCACCGAGGGGCCCCCACGGGGCCCCAGGACCGAGAACAGAAAAAGCTCAGGATGGAAAGCCAGCCCTGGGGAAAGTCCCGACCGCTTGCCCGGGCGTAGTTTTTCGTCCAAGATACATGTTTCATTGTCCAGGAGCCCGGAAACGCGCCCTAGAGTCCAAGATCGAAGGAGAAACGCCCGTGGATAAAAAAAGACAAAAAACAACAAACAAAAAATAATCGGAGATCGGGGGTCGGGACTTTCGGGGACCGCGCACTGAAGAGATGAGGGCGACGGTTGACTACACGCAAGAGCGACCCTTCGCCGGAGTGACATTTGGTGCGGGCCCATTCGGGTCCGCCGATCACCGAACGCAATGCGATAGTAGCGGCTTGCGCGCTTGTGTTTGGTCCCCCCGCGGCCCCCAAAAAGCCGCGCACCAAAGGCCCCTCTTGCCCAGGGTCATTCTTGCGTGTAGCCGAGACGGAGGTCTGGGGAGGGGGGCCTCCCGGTGAACCACGAAAGAGGGCCATCGAGGAGCTGCCAGGGGCCATTAGCCGAGGGGGGCCACGGAGGGAGTGCCATCGCGGAGGGGGGCCACAGAGAGGGTAGCCAGCGAGGGGAAGAGCAGCCGACCGAGGGGGCCACGGGGGGGCGGGAGCCACGCAGGAGGGCTGCCGAGGGGGCCATGGCGGACCTTGAAATCTGCAGGGTGAGGATAGTGTTGCGCTCGTCGTTTTTCAATGTGTGGCATCACAGGTCAGCCTGGCGAAAAGAAAGATTGGCTTTCGGATTAGGGGCCGACTTCCATGGGAAAGATCACAGGGTCGAAGCACAGGGCCGAGAGGGGAGGCCTAACAGCCGTGCCTGCCGGAATCGCTAGTCGAAGGTATATGTTCTTGAGGGGATCGTCATTTTCTTCGTGTTGGATCTTGTGTTGTCTCGCACGTGCGAGTTACGATTGTTCCGCCCTGCCAGTGCTCATTCGGAGGTTGTCTTCTCGCGTGCTGCGGCGATCCATACTTTCTATATTGTTTATATAGACACATACTTTGTATTTCGTTACATTTACATAGCGAGTCGAGTATGTTTGCAAAGGTCGCCCTGTACACGGAGCGCCCCGGCTGGGCGGCCGAGGAGATGTGCCACATTTGGTTCCACACCGGGTTCGAAGAGATTGGCGTTGTGAAGTTCAGCAAGGAGCCTCATTTGCCAAATGTTCACGTTGATCCAGACCGCCCAAATCGGGCCAGAGCATATGGGGTCTGAGGATCGCGCCGCACCGCCGATGCATCGGCGATGCGGCTCGGTCGGGAGCACAGCGTTATCCATCCCGACGTTGTCGATGCATCAGCATTGCGGCTCGATCCTCCGACCACATCTACTTCAGCCCACGGGGGTGGCCAGAGAAATTCGTTCACTCGTGGCCACAGCCGCGACGACGACGACGACGACTCGAGCATGAGTTCCGAGACCATCAGTTCAAGATTATGTTGTTTGTAGGGGGCCCGCGAAGAGGTTGCGCGGGGAACAGAAGGAACAGTGGGGCGAAGAGCGGGGGGAGAAAGAAGGGAGGAGGGAGAGGAAAGAGGGGGGGAGGAGGAGGAGGAGGACGACGAGGACGAGGACGAGGACGAGGAGGAGAAGGGAAGAAGCAGGAAAGAAATGAGAGGAATTGATGGATGGATGGAGATACCATATAACGCATCGTTCCTCCAAGGTATCATTGGAGCCCAGACCCTGGAATCCCCAAGCCGGAGGCTTGCAATGGATGCGCGCATGTCGTGTATAGCATGGACCCCAAACAATGCGTTTCTACATTTCTATGTTTCTGTAAATGTACGTGGTGCAATCTTTGTGGTGCAACGAATTTCTGTTCGCAGTGAGTTGTTAACTCCACTGCTCGCGCAAACATCCCACCCACCCACCCGCAGCTTGGATTGCAAAACCCACGCGGCGGCGATTGCGATGGGTGCATGGCGTTGGCTGGTGCATTTCTGCGGCCGCGCCAGCCCGCGCATGCTCGCGCGCGCAGCGGCCACCTTGTATGGCGCGACCGACGCGGCCGCGGTGGCGCTGACCGTTGGGCACATCCCAGCGGGCACTTTACCGCGAGTCGACGACTTGGGCGGGCGTTGTATCATGGCAACGTCGACAACGGCAGACACGATAATGATAGTTGCGGTGCTGGTGACGATAATGACAGCGGCGACGGCACGGCCAATGACGGCGCCGATGTTGATCACGCCGACGACGATGACGGCGTCTGCGCTTGCGATGAAGGCTTTGAAGGAGTTCGACGCGCGCGCGCAACCAAAAATTCTTAAAGGGTTCCGGCATGCGAGCGCGACGACGCTCGCGCGCGCACATTGTTTCATTTCTGTTGCGAAGGATTCCCGCGACAGCACGCGCGCAAGGGCGCACGAACGATTTCGGCATGCGGGCGCGCGAGGCCTGTTTGGCGACACGTTACGAAAAGTTTGGAAAGCGCATTGTTATCTCAAGACTTCGTAAGAGCACGCGCGCAAGTTTTTTGGGGGAAGTCCGGGTTGCGAACCAGGTGTGATGTGTGTTCTGACACTCGATTGATCTTGGCGAAATTTAAGGTTTTGAAATGATTCCGGCACGCGCGGGCGACGACGCGCGCGGGCGCATTTCGTTTCATCTGTTGCAGGGGAATCTTGGGAACCTATGACGTTTGATCAACGCGCGCGCAGAATATTCGTTGCAAAGGATGGTGCGTGCGCGTGTGTGTGCGTGTGTGTGTGCGGGGGGTGGGGGGGTCGATGCCAGTTAAGACTGGGATGGTATGAGCTCATATTTAAGATGGGCGTTGGGGCAGAATCGCATGTAATTTGCAATACGAAACGGGGGGGCGATGATCCCGGGGGGCGGGGTAGATTTCATTTTCTATTTAGGGGGGGGGTAGTTTCTGTTCGCAGCGAGTTGCAAAACCCACGCGGCGGCGACTAAGATCAGCACGCGGCCTCGCCTGTTCCGGCTTCGGGCTGGGTCGGGCACCGGCCCGCGGAGCTGACGGAGTCGAGCACGGGGGGGGGGGGCTTGACCCTCGGCGCGGCCATTTTGGGTCGAGCGCGCAACGCGCGCCCCCAGGGAGGGGCCTGCCCGCAGAATTCAAGTCTCCCAACCCCCACCCAGCACGAGGGGGGACCGGCAGAGAAGCCGCGTTCGGGGCGGCGGCGGCGCAGGCCCGCCGACGCCTTGGCCCCCGAGGCGCCCCGCGGCAGCCGCGAGGCCTGAGCTCGCCGGGCGGGTCGGGCCTCCCCTTCGCCGCTCCCGCGGCGGTCGGCCAGACTGCGCCGCCCCGCGCTTCGGCAGTCTAGCAACCCACCCCCACCCATCGCCCCACGCCGTCGCCGGCCGCCCCCCCCTTGCTGGGACAGATCCAGAGCCAGCGCCCCGGCGCCTCGCCGTGGGCCGCCGCGCGCGGCGGCCGGGCACGGGCTGCTGCGCGCCCCGCTTGCGCGGGCGCGCCAGGGCCCGCGACTGCCCCGTGCTCGGCGGCCTGGGGGCGGAGCTCCAGGGGTCGAGGGCGCGGGCGTCTCCCGGCGGGGGGGGGGGGGAGCAGGCGGGCGCTCGCGGGCCCCGCCCCCGCGGCAGAGCAGGGGTGGGATCGGGTGGACATGGGCGGGGCAGGTGAGCGGACTGCGTCTCTGTTCGGGCGCGCTCGCAGAGCTGGCACAGAGGGCGCGCCTCGCGGGGCCCCCCCTGTGCCCCCCTCGCGGTCGTGCTCTGTCGGCGTTGGCCAGTGCATCTCCGCGGCCGCGCTAGCCCGCGCGCGCTCGCGCGCGCCGCTAGGACCGACGCGGCCGCGGCGGCGCCGACCGCTGGGAACGCCCCAGCGGGCACTTCAGCGCGAGTCGGCGACTCGGGCGGGCGCGGCACCTCGGCAACGTCGACAACGGCAGACGCAGCGATGACGCCAGCGGCGCTGGCGACGACGACTGCGGAGACAGCGCGGCCGGCGACCGCGCCGACGCTGACCGCGCCGACGACGACGACGGCACCCTCGCGCCGGCGATGGAGGTCTTGGAAGGAGTTCGACGCGCGCGCGGCCGACGCGCGAGAGTGGCCCGCATAGTATTATTTGACACGAGAGGCCCGCTTGGCAGAACGCCATGCAAATGTTTCGAAACTTGCGGTTTTCCCACGGATTCGCAAGAGCGCGAGCGCAACTTTTTTTGACGACCGACGTTGCACAACCATGTGTTTCCTGTGTTTCCGAGACGATCGGTTTTGACATCCCGACGAAACCTTGCTCGACGGAGTTCGGCGCGCGCGCGACGACGCGCGCGCGCACGTCGCCCCAACGCGCGCACGAGGATCTCTGCGACAGCGCGCGCGCGAGGGCGCTCGATCGGTTTTCCGGGGAATTCGCAAGAGCGCGAGCGCAAGTTTTGTCTGAAGTTTTTGCGAAGCCAATTGTTTTGATGCGTTCCTTACACGCTCGGTTTTGAAACCCTCGCGAAACCTTTGCTTTCCGAAGGTTTCCAGCATGCGCGCGCGACGACGCGCGCGCGCATTCGTTTCATTGTTTCGAAGGGGACGATTGAAAGTTGATGATGGTTGATAAACGAATGCGCGCGCATGGTTCTTTTTTGCCAAGGATGGCGGGGGGGGTCGATACAGGCCTGGCCGGGACGGCACGAGTTCATATCTAGGACGGGCGACGGGGCGTAATCTCACGTAAATTGACACGCGAATAGGAGCGCGGATGCAGAATCTAATTCTTTTCTATAAGAAAAGAAACCACCCATGCTCAACTTGAAGTTGCCAACTCCACTGCTCGCGCAATCATCCCACCCACCCACCCGCAATTTGGTTTGCAAAACCCGCGCGGGGGCGATTGCGACGGGCGCATGGCGTTGGCTGGCGCATCTCCGCGGCCGCGCCGCGCAGCGGCCAGCTAGTTTGGCGCGACCGACGCGGCCGCGGCGGCGCTGACCGCTGGGCGCATCCCAGCAGGCATCTCAATGCGAGTCGGCGACTTGGGCGGGCGAGGCATCATGGCAACGTCGACGAAGGTAGACAAGACGATGATAGTAGCGACGCTGCCGACGATGTTGACAACGACGACGGCGCGGCCAGCGACCGCGCCGACGCTGACCGCGCCGACGACGACGACAGCGCCCTCGCGTCGGCGATGAAGGTTTTGGAAGGAGTTCGACACGCGCGCGCGGCCGACCCGCGAGAGTGGCCCGCATGGTCTTATTCGACACGGATCGCGCCCCCGCCCCCCTCTGCACCGTGGCGCGAAAGGCCAGTTCGGCAGCCTCCCATGAAAACCGATGGTTGTCTCACGGTTCCTAAGAGCGCGAGCGCAGGCTGTTTCTTAAATGTCGTTGCGGAACCACATGTGTTCATATGATTTTGGAATCCATACGAAACGTCGGCGCGACGACGCGCGCGCGCAATTCCCTTTGTTTTTTTCGCGCGAGGATTCTTGCGACGGCGCGCGCGCGGGCGCCCGAGCGATTTCGACGCGCGCGCGCGAAGCCCTGTTGGTAGAGTCATATGAAATTAATATCAAGAGTTCGCAAGAGCGCGAGCGCATGTTTTTCTTGAAAATCCGTGTTGCGAAGCCATGTGACTGCATGGATTATGATGCTTATGATGCACTCGATTTTGAAATCTCAAAGAAGCCTTGGGCGTTTGAAAGACGTCGGCATGCGCGCGCGACGACGCACGGGCGCCCACTTCGTCCCATGCGTCGCGGGGGCCCGGGAAAGTTATGAGTCGCGGTTAACGAGCGCGTTTGCAGCATTTGTCGCATAGGGCGAGGGGGGCGATACCAGTTTAGCTGGGATGATACGAGCTCATATTCAGGATGGGCGACGGGGCAGAATCTCGTGTAAGTTGGCACGCGAAAAGAGGAGCCGCTGTTCTCTGGGGGGGAAGTCCGAATCTTGTTTTAGAGAAGAGAATACGCGGTCTGATCCTTAAGGTGCAATTCACCAACAACCAACTTGAAGTTATCAACTCCACTGCTCGCGCAATCACCCCACCCGCCCACCCGCAACTTGATCTGCAAAACCCGCGCGGAGGCGATTGCGATGAGTGCTCGGCGTTGGCTGGTGCATCTCCGCGGCCGCGCCAGCCCGCGCACGCTCGCGCGCGCAGCGGCCAGCTAGTGCGGCGCGACCGACGCGGCCGCGGCGGCGCTGACCGCTGGGCGCATCCC